TGAGGGACAGACCTGTGGGACACCAGGCCCTGAGGGACAGACACCGGGCACTGTGGGACAGACACCGGGACACCGGGCCCTGAGGGACAGACACCGGGCACTGTGGGACAGACACCGGGCACTGTGGGACAGACACCGGGCACTGTGGGACAGACCTGTGGGACACTGAGCCCTGTGGGCCAGACACCAGGACAGCTGGCACTGTGGGACAGACACCTGGCACTGTGGGACAGACACTGGGACACCGGGCCCTTTGGGACAGACACCAGGACACTGGGCACTGTGGGACAGACACCGGGACACTGGGCACTGTGGGACAGACACCGGGACACTGGGCACTGTGGGACAGACACCGGGCCCTTTGGGACAGACACCAGGACACTGGGCACTGTGGGACAGACACCAGGACACCGGGCACTGTGGGACAGACACCGGGACACTGGGCACTGTGGGACAGACACCGGGCACTGTGGGACAGACACCAGGACACTGGGCACTGTGGGACAGACACCAGGCCCTGAGGGACAGACAGCAGGCCCTGTGGGACAGACACCGGGCACTGTGGGACAGACACCAGGACACTGGGCCCTGAGGGACAGACACCGGGCCCTGAGGGACAGACACCGGGCCCTGAGGGACAGACACCGGGACCTGAGGGACGGACACTGGGCCCTGAGGGACAGACACCGGGCCCTGAGGGACAGACACCGGGCCCTGAGGGACAGACACCAGGACACTGGGCACTGTGGGACAGACACTGGGCACTGTGGGACAGACACCGGGCCCTGAGGGACAGACACCGGGCACTGTGGGACAGACACCAGGACACTGGGCACTGTGGGACAGACACCGGGCCCTGTGGGACACCGGGCCCTGCCGGGTGAGCTGGGAGCTCCCTGTTCTGGCACTGCTCGGGCTCTGCTCAGGTCATCCCCTCTAAACCATTCCCAAATGGTTCCCACACCGTGGCCAAAACCTGCAGGGCCCCCAAAGGTTCTGGAAAGGGGACACAGAACAGACAAAACCCCCCAGCACCAAACACAGCAGAAACAATGCAAAGGAAGTGCCTGAACTCACACCCTGCAACAGGCACTGATGGAAACCCAAGAACAACTGCCAGTCCCCCCCTCAAAACACAACACACAGCCCAAAACAGAACAAAATACGCCACGGTAGTTCCTGCTTGGCTCTTCCCCAGGACTTGTGGTCTGAAAAACCATTGTCATCAAATTTCAGCTGCAGAACCCCCCACCACATGTTTTAATGTTCCAGTGGCATCCAACTCTGAGCCACATTTCACAACAGGTTAATGTGGAAACCTCGCACACAACTGGATGGACTCTTGTACAAAGTTCTCCTATTATATGGCATAAAATTGCACCCAGGTAATGACTCCTCTAACCACATTTTTAGCTCAAGGAAAATAAACTCATATGATCCCACAAAATTTCAATGCTGGCTGACCCAAAGTCCGACCAGGACAATTTATACATCCCACTTTGGAAGGAGAAGCTCCCATCAAATATGCACCACCTAAGGTCCTCATTCCTGCACATGCTGTACCGCTGGATTTTTGGCATCAGGAGCAACAAGGCTGTTATTATTCACCTTTCCTGCATATTGTCTGAAACAAATATATAGCTGTGTGCACATGCACCCTTAAATCATCCCCAGGAGCTGTTTGTCCTTCTGGCTGCTTTGCTCCTTGCTGTCTCTGGAGTTTCAAATACACCCATCCAGCAACATGGGCTTATCAGCACACAGCCCCTCAAAGCTGTGACTGGAACACTGGGAATACACAAAAGCCCCTGGAAATGTGAAGGGATTACTGAATATTCCAAATTCCGAACAGTTTTTGCCAGTGGAAGCTCACTGAGTCACTAAGAGAGTATAACAGATTTACTATATCTCTATTTCAATCTGCTAAATTACACCACAGCCAGAATCAGGTTTCTACAACAACTGCAAACCAAAGGCCTGAGGTTCTTTTTCTCCCTGTGGAATGCTGTCTGCCAGAAATCCAAGACTCAGGGGACCTGATGGAGAACAGTAGTAGGAAAATGTGTTATTTCTGCTTCAGGCAAGCATCTGGGCTGTGCCTGCTTCTTGCATCTCAGGGAGCTGACAGCAGAGAGCTCAGATACAAGACCTACAAAACCACAAAATTTGGCAGTCAAAACACAAAAGGGGAGTAGCAGAGAGACAGAACTGTGCAGGAATGAGCTGCAGCTGCAGCAAGTCACCACTGGATCTTACAAACCCCTGCCTGAGGTTTGACGTGGCACACGTGAAAGGGTTTTGGAGGGAGAGTTGTTTGCTCAGTCACACGACACAAGAGAGATAAAAGGAGGGTAAAGGTATCCTAAAGCCCACCCTGGGGATCATTTGGTCAGTGAATTTCAGTCATTGCAGAGTGAATTGTCAAGAGTGAGGCTGCACCCAGACACGAGGCTTTGGGATTTCACCTGTGACAGGAACAGGTGAGGTGTCAAAGCGTGGGAAGGACAAGGATGATCAGGGAGAGATTTATGGGGACAATGTTCAACAGCCAATTTCAAGAACTGAAGACTTTGAGAGGAAGCTCTTGTTCTGCTGAAAGAGCACCAAAACAGAGACAGAACCTGCTCCACAGCCCAGCCCAGGCACAAAGCCATGGGCCAGACAAGACCTGGGGCACAGAGAGGCTCCAGAACTGACTGCAGGTCTGTGCTCCTGGGCCCTCTCTCTGGGCAGCAAACCAAGGCTTCTTCCTCTGAATCAGCTTTTCCCTTTATTCTTTGGCCTGTGATCCACTTGCTAACAGGGAAAAGTCCCACCACCTTTGATGCCAATATGATTGATTGCAGCTTTTATAAAGGTTTGCTGTATTGACACACACAGTGTATAATTTCCCCCCATTTGAATTTCTAATTCCCTTGATATTGGTGGAATTTCTCAGTTAAGGAACTTTTCTCGAGTCAGAAGTGTGAGTAATTTTCACATGATCAGCACTGCATGAATACTAAAAAGCAGGAAAGAGAGAGAATCACGTTAATGACAGTCCCTCTGGAGATGGTCAGGATGTACAGAGGGACATTAAGGATCTGCTTTGATACCACACTTGTTCCAGCATCATCCCACACTGAACTGAACCCCATCTTCAGAAACAGTTAAAACTCTGCCCCCATCTCATTAAAGTTACAAAGATATTTGCATGGCTTTTTCAAGAAGGTTGGGAAAACCTCTTTGCTCTCAGTCCTTGAATATGAAGAACTCACCAGCAGAAGCTCCTTATAACAGAATTTAGGAGACAGCTCTGAATCAACAGTGTCTTCCTTTAGCACACCAGGAACTTAGTGAGTTCCTGATCTCTTTGAATTGAAGTTTCTTGGGCATGCATTAGGATAAATGCTTTGAAAGTTCTGTTTAGTTTGAGAATCATAACTTCTATGATCTACTGGTAGATTTCAAGATAAAGCTACAGACTTGATTTATGTTTTTCTATGAACTCAGACTGAGGTTTTCCAGTGACAAAGGCAGAAATACTGTGCAAGCATCAGATTGGCTGGACTGGCATTCCCAGGTTGGAAAGGAGGGGTGTGAGAGAAGCTGGACTCTGCAGCACCAGGAGAACACAGCCCAGCCCTGGTGTCCCCTGGTTCTGATGTGCTCAGTCCTAACTTTGCCTCTCAACTCTTGAGGGGGCTCTGGTCTAGCAGGAAGAGGTATTTAAGTAATGTGAATAAAATACCAGGAGGTGGCTGTTACTCATCAGCAGCTATTCTTCAACTATCTGAGGAGAAATGTTCCTTAAAAAGAAAAAAACCCCCACCAAATACAAAACCCAACTACCAGTGATCTAATCACTTTAAAGATAAATTATTCTTTGCCAAACCTGTACTGTGAGACAATTAATTATACAGAGATCTGGCAAATCTTAATTCATTGTGCTGTGGCATCAAATTCTGTCCTCTGGCATGCAGCAAGGAGCGGGTCAGTGTGAATGGAGGAGGAATTGATCATTTGTGACAAGGTTCATTTTGGTAAAATTGTTGTGTTTTTCTCCTTCCTCAACGACTTTTTTTTC